CAAGTTCATCAAATTTATCATCATCTTCATTTTCATTATCTTTATTCATATTATGAGGTAAATTTTCATTTTCATTTAAAATTTAAGGTAAATTATAAGCTAACAATTTTTAAATTAAAAATTTTATCATTAACCTTTGACAATCTTATTAATATTTATTTTTAATAATATTAATTATAATATATTATAAGATTTATTATGAAGAATAACTTTAATTATTATAATTTTATAATTTATAACTTTTATTAATAGTAAAATTATTCAATTAGTTCACAAACATATGAATTTTAAGAAAATTTTTAAAAAATTATTATAATAAATTTTTTAAAACTTAATTTTACAAATTGAATTATTTAAAAGATTTTTAATAAACACAAAATTCTTCTAATAAAATTGATAAAATAAATATTAAACTATATTTTTTATATAATAATTATATTATTAATATTAACATTTTATATTTTATTAAAAAATTAATGCTTTTATTTATGTTTGAAGACAAATTTTCCTGTTTTATAGTTTAAGAGATAATATTATTTTAAGTTTAATCTTTATTATATAAGCATTTTATAGTAGAAAAGAGAAAACTACCAAAAAATTTTTTCTTAAATTAATGTTAAATCTAAATTTATTTTACTAAAAATAAAAATTAGCTTATAAAATAGAAAATTTTTTTAGTAATTTCTCTTTTTCTACTGTATAGTATTAATAAATGTAAATTTTTATTTAATTTAAAATAATTAATTATATTATCCTTATTATTTAATTACTAATTTTTTATTTTTAAATTAAATGAAAAAATAGGATTAAAAGACGTTAACCTTATACTAAATATGATAAGCTTATTGAAATAACTTATGGTTATATATTAGAAACTACTATATAATCTAATTTTTTAGAATAAAGCTTAAATATTAAGTTTTGAATATAGTCTTTAAAGTTAGATTTTATATATATATATATATTTTTAGAAGTTAAATTTAATTTAAATATAAGCAAAGGTTAAAAATTTTTTTCTAGTATTTTAGAAAAGGATTAGCTTTAAAATGTTTTTCTATATATTAAAAAAATGATTTTATATCAGAAATTGATTATTAAATCTTATAATAAAATTCTAATTTCTATTAAACTTAATCCCTGATCAAATAAGTCTAACTTTTAAAATTTAGTCATATAACTTATGATTCTAATATTTTTAAATAAACAGTTTTAGTATAATTTTTAGCATAATATAAAATATTAATATATCAAAAATAATTAAACAAATCTCAAATTAATAAACTGAAATCAACTAATTCTAATTTTTTTGAGATTAGATTTAATATATTAGTATCTAAAGGTAAGACTTAGTAACTTTAAGTATTTTTTAATAGTTTGATTTAGAATAAATTCTAGAATATCACAAAATAATAATATACATTTTGACTTATATAGCTTGTAATATTAAAACATTATTTAGTTATATTCAATATTACTTTTAATAATAAGTAGTATAATATAAATTATTTGATATACTAGAATGAATTAAATTTAGGCTAGAAAGATTATAAAAAATGGTATAATTTTTAATATCTAATGAGATAATTTTATGTCAAATTTGATATTAGAATAATGGAAACTAAACTAATTTAAATATCTAAAATTAATATTTACGATTTTTAATAGAATTTAAGTCAGGATTATAATTGAAAGTTTTTTAAATACATTTTGAATTCTAATTTCAGAATTTCAATTTCTACCTTATTACTATACAATTTTCTTTATTTATTTCTTTAATAGTTAGCTGAATTAAATTTTTGAAATCTTTATGTATTTGGAATATAATAAATAATATTTAAAAAGACTTGATTAAAAAAAAGAAAATAGAACTAAACAAAAAAAAAATAGTTTAATAATTTATTATAATAATATAAATAAAATTATTCTTATAAATAATTCTATTTCAATAAGTTCTCTAAATATTTAATATTATTTTAATAAAGAAATATCAAATTATAAAATACTAATTTTTATCTAGAAAATTATAATTGTATAATATCAATTTATCATATTTAGGTCAATTTATATTAATAAATTATTAAATTTTAATTTGACAAAATGCAAAAGAATATTTATTATTAATTTAATTAATAGAAAATATCATTTATAAAAATAAATTATTTTTTTTATATAAATTTATGATTTAAAATACAAAATATCAATTATATTTCCTTTTAAATTTTATTTTATTTTAATATATTTTAGCTGATTTTTAATGTATATTAATTAAATGTTAATCAGCTATAAATAAGATAGTTAGCTAATTCTTGATGTATACTAATTGGCTAGGCTGTTTTTAGCTGATTTTTAATGATTTGTTAATTTTAAGTTGATTTATCATATATCTGATTTTTTGATTTTAATTAGTATGAATATAATAATTAAAAATCAATAATTAAAGGCTTTTATTTTTTTTTTAAAAGTTTTCATTTAATATAATTAATAATTTTTTGATTATTTAATTTAATATTAATTTTTAATAACTTATTTTCATAAATTTTTAGATTATCTTTATATTGATATAATATATTTTTACATTAAATTTCTAAATATAAAGCTATAAATAAAAAAAAAATTTAATAAAATTTTAAAAACCAATTTAAATATTAATTTAATTAAATAAATATTTATATAATTCTTCATTTACTTCTTATAAATAAAAATTATTATTGATTTAATATTAAATATTTATTATAAAAAATATATAATATTAAAATAAAAATTATTTAAATTTTCTTGTTTTGTTCTTAACTATATGAATTAATTTTTGAATAATATATTGAAATAATATAATTTTTATTGAAATTTCTAATAAATAGCTTGTTTTAATTTTAAAATACTCATCTTCTTTAAATTCAAAATATTATGTATTATAAAAAAAATCTTATAAAATAATCTTATAAGAGTAAATATATCTGTTTTAAAAATCTATTTTATTATTATTAACCTATACATTTTATCTTTAATTTGATCTGATAATGGTTAATTTATTATCAACTACTTTCCTAATTGATTTAAATCTGATGATATATTTATTTCAATCTTTATAAAATAATAAAAAATATAATTTGTAAAAAAAAGAATCTGTATACATGTACTGTACTCCCGTATAACTCGTATAACATACACATCTTGAATCCATTAATACCTTATTTAAAGACGATACTAGTATAAGCTTAAGCAAAAAAATAATGATTATGTATTTAAATTAAAATTGATACATTAAAAAATAACATATTGAATCAAATAAGATCATTTTGATTATTTTATTTTATTTTTATTTTTTTTTTTGATCTTGGTTTAACTTTCTTTGCGTTATTATAACTTTTTTGTGTGTAAACTATTTTTCAAGTGATGAAAATTATTGTTGTCATTTACGTTGTTTTGATTATTTTTTTTAGTTTCTATTACGTATTAATATCCACTTTGAAATAGTTTCACATCTGATATTTTTTGGGAAAGTTTCAGCATTCATTAATGGATTTTTTACCAATTGAATGATAAATACTATTCATTCAATAAAAATTTTCAAAACCTTTTGGGATATTCAACCTTTTTTTAATTTACATATATAAAATATTATAAAATTAGAAAACTAATGAAAGAGTGATCAAAGATTTGATTCGTAAAATACCTTTTCTTTTGAGAGAATATAATTGTTATATGTTTTATGATTTCGAAATCGACTTGTATTTTAAGAAAGTTCTATTATTACTTTCAAGTTTATCAACTCGCGATAAATCTCTAATTGCGGTTCATTAGCGACCTATTTTTTACAAGGTGTCTAATAGTTTATGGTCAAATAAAGTTTTATTTAAAAAATTTCGACCGCAAATAAAGATCAGATATAACTTTTTCCCTCTCAAAGATCTTATAATTCTAATACACTAACATAATCCATCTGCATAATTTTGGAGACGATCTGAATATATCTTTTGAATAAGATTTTATTCGTGTTGATGATCCTTGGATTTTTAATTAAATATCGTAAATTAAGGAATACTATAATATAAGTAATGCATCATATTTACAAACCTCGTCATATTCTCCATTTATCTAGTTCTTCCTTCTTGAGCAACATTTAAATTATTTTTAAGAATAACGAATATATTTAAATATTCTTGTACGTGGATTGCTTCCTTAGCTTGTCAATGGGTTTATTCTTTGATATGATATTTCTTTTTCTTTAAGTCGTCCAATGCTTGTAATCCATTATTACTAATTCTTTCTCGATATTTATCGAGTAAATTTCATCTAATTCAGCGGGAAAGATTATTCCTTTAACTATCAGATCATTCACATCAATCGTAAATAAATGTATTAAACTATTGCAAAAATTAAAAAGTTAGATCAGAAATGCAAAAAAAATATAAAATGTTAGTTAACACACTAATACTTGCTTTTTAGACTAAAATCTGAAAATAGACTTGTATATAAATAACATCATTCAAGACTCGTATTGTATATAAGAGCTATTTCAATTCATATCTATCTAATCATTGTCTTTAAACGATTTTTCCAAATGTTGACGTCTACATCTTCAAAAATATAATTATTTTTAGCTTCTAAAATAAACCGACCCTTTTCAACGGTCGATTTTCATTATAGTTTATATTTTGTCTTTCTTTTAAAGATAAGTCTTATTTGTCCTAATAACAAATTAATAAGGTTTGGAATTCTTTGATAAATTTAATAAAGATTTGAAAAGCGCGAAATAATGTTGATTTTACTTTCTTGTAATTCCGTCGGCAGATTTCTATAATAAAAATTATTGTTTGTGAGTAAGGAATATACATGGCCGATTTCTCCTACGAAATCATCAGTCAATCCTTATAGCAAACGCGCACGTCGCAGCGGATGAAATATCGTCTGGACACTCTTCTTCCTTGTGCCAGCGGGACAAGGCGTAGCATTTAATGCATGTCGTAGCGGATGAGAGAAACATTGTCTAGACACTCTTCTTCTCTGTGCCAGCGGGACAGGGCATAGCATTTTATGCATGTCGTAGCGGACGAACATCGTCTGGACACTCTTCTTCCCTGTGCCAGCGGGACAGGACGTAGCACATAAACTATTCCTCGTTAGCATTTTTTTCAAACTAACCTTAGGATTTTATCCTACTCTCGTTTTTCAGTTTTGTTACCAACCAGAACCTTAATTCAGCCATCATGAAATTGTAATTATCCACATCCCCACTTTACGTGTGGTCTTTTTCAATAATTGATATGCTAAGCTTTAATAAATCGACGAAGAGGAGAAAGAGAATTAATAACTTAATAAACTTAATTCATCTGATTACTGTTTAAATAAAGTTACCTCAGACAAATTACATCATGAAGAGATATCTGGATTTTTGTAATCACTCGCATGTCTAATATTATGGCAATTTCTTTTGCTTTTTTTTTCAAATAAATTATTTGCACTGTTTGCTGTAAAAAAAAAAATTAGCATTTCTAAATACGAGTAGAATATTTTCTAAAAATATTTGACTTTTGCTGCTTTTTTTTTTTTGGTTTGAATATTGCCTGTATATCGAAGTTTCGTTTTGAAAGTTTGAAAATGTATCATGAAAAAATTTTTAGAATTTTCTACAAAAGAAATTCCAATAATAAATGGATTCTCCTTTGAAACTGTTCTTGAATTTTAATTTTGCTTTTGCTGAACGCTCTTTTAGGATTAATATTGTAAATTTTTTCGTCTTTCATAAAAATTAGCAGTTGAGAAGGTATTTTTTAGTTTTAAAAAAACGCGTCAAAAGAAACTATAAAAAATGGCTATAATCATCATATCATGTGATAACAACTAGGTAACGGGAACTTAGGAGAAACCGTTATTGTTACACAAAAATTCGATATTGTCACATATAACCGACCAATAAAATTACAATATTTCGATATTATCACATATTAACTGACCAATCAAATTACCAGTCACGTGGTTACACAAATTTTATGTGTAACTCCGATCACTTTGTGGCTTAATTTCTTCAGCATTAATAAAGCTAAATGATTAACTCTTGCTTAAAAATATTTTTTAAACAATTTTATTTGTATACATAAAATAAAAATAAAAATTTTACAGCTCTAGAAATAAATTTTTTGCACATTTTAATAAATTATTCGTTGTTGTATTACTTCTTCTAAATTGCTCAAATCTTCGTCAATTGTATCTTCTTCATTATCAAAAAATTCACTTTCAACTAGTTCTTTTGTCAAGCTTGTTATTAATGCATTGATGTTCTTTTTAACCTCATCCTAAAGATAACTTATATATATCAAGCATTTAAATTGAATTCTTTGTAAGCAAATATTATGATAATCATGATCACATACCAGAATGCTACCATTAAGTAAATTATCATCGCAATAAATGTAATCACATAAAGTAGAAGTATTGGGCTTTCTATAAGTAACAAATTCTTTTAGAAGATGATAATCCATTATCTCATAATCTAATGAAGGAAGTTTGTAAGTATTAATACTGTTAGATGAAGATTTAATAATTAAAGGATACTGATCATGCTGTCAACAGAGCAATTAACCAGTCATAATGAATCATGTGGATGACGCAGTATGACGATCTCTTAATTCAGAATTCTGAAAATACTGAGAATTCTACGAATTCTGAAAATACGGAGAATCTGCATAACTCTTAAGATCTTCAAAATACTGATAATAATCATAATTTTACAAATTAAACGAAGTCTAAGGATATTTGGTGTTATACATATTTTTAATATTCTAACTTTTATTATTATTTTTATTTTATTTTATATTTTTATTATTTTATGTATTCTCAATGTATTTATTTTACTTATAGTTT